GGACTATGGTTACGAGAAAACCTAGTTTGTTTTTCCTGAGGTTAGAATTATTGTAATACACGGAGCGAAAACACTTGGCGGGATAATGTATTTACGTGACCTTCCTTCGATTTCAACAACATGTCATATGACTTTGACAACGGATTACGACGTGTCTGTTGATCGTACTACATGCACCAATTTTTACATTTTAATTAACATTCATTTAGCTAAGTTGACAATTGTCATACATGCATATGATCTATTTGTGTATTATCTTCGACCAATGGACACAAATATCGTTAAAGAGCAATCTGTACCTCAATTAAAAAAAATGAAATGCATTAAAAAGGTGAATTTGGAATCAAAGAATATACGTAGAAGAATCGATAAAAACGGTAAATGACAATGAAAAATCCTTTTTTGACACATTAATGTTGTACGTAACCGAATGAATGATGTCCAAAGATCACTATTTTATCCGTTATGCCGCGGTACATTGATTATATATTATCCTGAAACAACAAAAAGTCACCTGAAGTGTGACCATCAAAACCTTATTCATTATGGCATCATCAATATCTCGCGCAATCGTTTTCCCTGTCTACTTGCCATGCTGTTCATGTTCTTTTTAATTGATTGGAGCATCTTCACATTAATATTTGCTTACGTTTCTTTTGTAGAATTCTTGGTCTGGTTCTTCAAAAGTAATGCCGGATGGTTCATGTTTGCTAAGCTCTTATGTTTACCACATCCCCTGTACACTGCCACTGCTTCGATATAATCGGAGGAAAATTCTCCAATTGAAGGTGATACACACTACGCTAAATAAAGGAATTTTGCTGGCTGGCTAAGAAACCATTCAAATTCAACGCTTCACGATAAATCGAACAAACCTTCCTATTATAGTACATCGATTGCAATTACTTCTTTGGAAAGTAATGAAAGAAGGAATTTGAGAATCTGGTAATTGTTTAAAATATTATTATTCACTGTTTTTCGGTAACCCACCTACTTCCTTAAATTTCCTGTAGCGTTTCCGTTACATTGTCATCTCCACAAATGTGGTCTCTTTTCGATTACCTCAAAAAAGTATTGTTTACGATTATCAAAACTGCAAATAATAATCGTGTTCATTAAATGACATTGGTTTTGAAAAAATAGTAAACCATGATTTTTTAATAGTTGACAATTGTTTATTTATTTGCTGTATCTATTTTATTTATTTCTTAAATAAAAAATTAATAAAAACATATCTGTATAACTAAAATTAGCAATTATCATTACAAGCATGCAAGAAACAATCAAAATCCTGTTATAACAGACGATTTAAAAGTTTTTTAAGACCTTGTTATGGGAACCAACAGTTTTTAAAGAAAATGCATCGAAACTTGACGAATGTTTTTGATAAGATGAAGTTTGTCTTTATCAAAGTGATATAATGCACTCAAGTCTTAAAAAAATATTATTATTATTATTATTTAATAAAAACAATTTCGACTCGAATTTTTCATTGAACCCATATTTAATTCTACATAATTTTATTATTCATAACAATTTTATATTGTATTCCGGTAATACACAATAAACAATTGTATTTATTTACTTTAAATCAATACAATTGATTTATTGGTTTTTTTTAAAAAAATTTAACATTAAAAATTTGTTAAAATCAAGAAAATATACTGTATATAGTAACAATCAAAATATCGCATCGCAAA